CTCTCTTCTCTTCTCTTCTCTTCTCCCTCCCTCCCCTCCCTCCCCTCCCCTCCCCTCCCCTCCCCTTCCCTTCCCTTCCCTTCCCTTCCCTTCCCTTCCCTTCCCTTCCCTTCCAAAATAGTGCTGCACACATTACACACGTTTCCTGCATGCATAACCTATTATTACTAATGTTGAAGCAAGATTCAGTTCTTAGTCTAGTTCTCTTTGTCTTGACCAGAACCTTCTTTCTGGATTTTGAGAATACTTATTTTGCTTGACTTTCTAGTGGTGAAGCCCTTTCCATAGCCAACTCTTTTCTGCTACTGCAGATTTTTACATGCAGTCATTGGCTACCTGTTTTATTATATGTCTCTCTCCCCTAATTGATTCCCACAAGTTTACTGGTATCACTAGATATCCTAGATATCTCCTGTTTTCAATTCTGAATATTTCTTAAGCATGGAAAATAGTTAGAATTGATGTGGCCATGGACAAACATTGGAGGAGGAAAATGTATTTCTCTTTTATTGCAGGCTACTTTGGCTAATTTAGAGTACTTTAACTATTTTTACTACTCTGTTCCTAACTTTCTAAACCCAGCAAGGTTGGGAGGATATTTTTCCAGCAGATGATCCTAAGCTGATGTTGCAAACGAAAGATGGTCCTCATCCAGTCCAAGAGCAGGAATGCTGTTTTTTAGTAGTAAGGGCCATCATAGACTAACTTTGCCTGATGCCCCCAGAATAATGATATAGCCTGGAGGGACATGTAGATAGCAGGTTTTTAGGATCTCTTTTTTTAACTAGGACTTCAAGGACTACTAAGTAGAGTCAGGCACAACAGAATTACAGGTAATTATCAACTTATGACCATTCGTTTAACAACTGTTCAAAATTATGGCAGTGCTGAAAAAAGTGACTTACAACTGGTCCTCGGGCTTATGATGGTTGCAGTGTCCCGTGGTCACATGATCACCATTTGCGACCTTCCCAGGGGGCTTCTGACAAGCCAAGTCAATGGGGGAAGCCAGATTTGCTTAACGACTGTGGTGATTCACTTAACAACCACATCGTTTAGCAATGGAAGTTCTGGTCTCAATTGTGGTTGTAAACCGAGGACTACCTGTAACACAAATGAGGGTCTGGGCTTGCTTTTAGTATCAGAACTGCTCACAGTCCTTGTATAGAAAAGTCCACTCCAAGTTTTCTTCATTTTAGCAACCAGACTTAGAAAGGTGGGAGAGCTTTTTAATTTTTTTTATTACAGACTACCTGTAGATTTCCCCATGCCTGGACTGGAGGTATATTTCCAGAAAGAGTTCATTCTAAACGTGAATCTTTTAACTGGGGAAATAATACACAAGATATATGTTCAAGCACTAATTAATAGACCCTAACTAAAACTTGCTTTATGAGCAAGCTGGAATAGACTTGATGCCATATGTTCAGATCTGGTTTGCTACTTTCTGCTTCTTTTCCAGGTAAAGTAGCTGGAGACATTTTCAAGGACAATACTATCCTCTCTAACCCAGTGGCAGGGCTTGTGGTAGGAATCCTTGTTACTGTCCTTGTACAGAGTTCCAGCACCTCCACCTCCATCATCGTGAGCATGGTTTCCTCAGGGTGTGAGTAACATTGATGGACTAAAATAAGACTGAATATGGGGGTCTGGCTGCATAAATATGCAAAAGAAGTAGATTCCCTTGTCCTTCCTTTTTTCCTGTCTGTCTACTGGCATAGCTATATACCTTTGATAGCTATTCTTCTTTTATATCAGGGATAGGAACTTGTGGCCTCCAGATGTCATTGAACTACAACTCCCAGCACTCCCAATCAGAATGTCCTATATTAAGGGGAGTTAGAATTGTATCTGGTTGTAACAGGTCCCGTGTTTTCTATTCTGGTAACATTTGCATTGGTAATGAAATGCAAGGCCTGATAATAAAGAAAGGCCTTTGAATGTAATTGCAATTGCGGGAGACTGATAAATCTGAGTGTCTGCTAGAGATATACGTAGGACTGGAGAGGAAGAGTCTGGCCAGGAGAAAAGGTGTGCCTGAACTTTCATTCTGTTTATGATGCCACCAAAGGCATCTTAAAGCCAGAGTCCTCACCAGGTACTCTTTGCTCTTTGCTCTCTAGTGCTAGATGTAGGTTCAGCCATTCCCATCATCATGGGCTCCAATATAGGGACCTCAGTCACCAACACCATTGTGGCACTCATGCAAGCTGGCGACAGAAATGAATTTAAGAGGCAAGTATTACCGTGTGTGGGCCGGAGGGAGTACAGTGACTACAGATGGAGAACTAGAATGTAGCCAGCTTCTGCCCTGGAAAGAAGGCCAGTTGTGTGGCTGGTAGAACTAGATGAAGACAGGAGCAGGATGGGAGAAGGAGAAAGTATTAATCAACTATAAGATGATTTCAGTAGATGGCTGAGGCTGGGGGTGCTGGGGCTACAAAACCTAAGTTGGGAGTAATAAAGAACAAGCACATGTTAACCCAGGAGAAATTGGTAATTCAGGTAAGCAAAGCAAATGGGCAGAAGTGGGGCTAGAAGAGACTTGGCAATGCAGATGACTTGGATGGATGCTCAGGTAGGACCCATCCATACACCCTATGCCACAACTCCTCTATTTCACATCAGCAGTAGCTTATCTATTGTCTAACAGGGCCTTTGCAGGGGCCACGGTGCATGATTGCTTCAACTGGTTGTCAGTACTGATTCTGCTGCCTCTGGAAGTGGCCAGTGGCTATCTGCACCACATCACCAAAATTTCCGTGGCAGCTCTCAACCTCCGCAGCGGACAGGATGCACCAGAGATCCTGAAAGTAATCACGGAGCCCTTCACTGGTCTCATTATCCAGGTGTGTGTGCTATACCAGATGGAGGATTATGGCACTGAAGATCTGGAGGACACCAAGTTGGGAAAGGCTGATCTAAACACAACCTCTCCTTCTTGGTCTTTCTCCTGGGAGCTGTTTCTTTGTTTTCTATATAGTAGCCTTGGGAGGTGGGATGAAAGAGGTGTCTTCTACTCCTGCCACAATTTAAGGATCTTTCTTGTTTCCTTCAGCTGGATAAGTCAGTGATCACAGGGATTGCCACAGGCAATGAAAGCTTGCATAACAAAAGTCTGATTCGGGTGTGGTGTGAAGTGCCAGCTCCACAGGTGAGAAAAGTACCAAAGGAGAGGAAAGATAGAATGGAGGGGGGGGGGAATGTAAGAATGTAAGAGATGACAGCAGATGTCATGCAGGAGAAGTTCCAAATTCCTGTTCTATAGGGATGCCACCACTGAGAAGGGTTTCTCTCTGATTAACACATTGTACGTATCTCATTTGGTGGAACCTCTGAGGGTAACCTAGTCCTAATACTAGTCTTAGTTCTAGCCCTAATCTGAGACCTAGTACTTGGATAGCCAATATAGTCGCAGGTGATCTTTCAGGTACCCTAGTTCCAAGTCTAGAATATTCTGATCTAGAAGCATTATTCACATTCTACTGTGCACTACTGGAATAACTAGATTTATACTAGATTTTGGAAGCAAGCATACAGAATCACAGTGGATGATCATTAAACATAAGAAGACCCTCACTGATCAGACCACTCGACTTTAGCATTTTGTTTGCTACTGTAGCTGGTGAGATACTTCTGGGAAGCCACAAAGGGGGCACAAAGACCATTGCCTTCTCCTGCTGCTATTCCCCAGCACCTGATAATTTTGATATCAGAGGCAATGTAGCCATCATAACTATGATCACTGGCATTTTAATGAGCATTAATGTCTAATACCCTTCCAAATCTATCTAAGGATCAATCGATCCTGTACTTTTGCTTTTCTGAAAAATAAATTCATGGATCTCACTGTGTGGAGATTAGAGAGAATTGTATCTCTCCAATCACTTTGATTCTAAACCCCTTCTTTTCCCCACATGGGAGATAACAGGGGAAAAAACCTCCAGTGTGTTTATAATGTAATCTAATGTTACCCCCATAATTATATCCTTGCATAATATTGTCATTTCCAGAGCAGTAAGAGGTATTCGGAAGGTTATGCATATTTTATCCTGAGTGTGTATAACACAAGCGCATGTCGCAAGCCACCTATAGCAAGTCAGGAGCAGGAAATTAGGCTGTCTGCTATTTCACTGAGATTTTTAAGGAAAACCTGGTACCTCTGCAGGTGAAGGAATGCCAATTGCTTTGTGCCCTTTCAGTTCATTGTTTTAAATCTTGTATCTCTACAGATGTGCACAAATGGAAACCCCTTTGTAATGGCAGTTCAGCCTCCAATGAATTCAGTGTGCTTTTTCTCTTAATGTTACTTTTCTGTTCACATATATTGGTTCAGGTTTTAAAAAAAAGAATCCGGTAACTGAATGGGCGGTTCTGCAGTGGTGAAAGGATATAGGTTTAAAAAGAAAGATGTTCATAGTTATTTATAGTTGTGCTCTTCTGCTATGGGGAAAAAACTTAGAGCACTTCTGTATGAGGACTGTGCTGAATCTGGATGTGGAGCCAATCTGTTTCCAGCTCAGCTGTGTTCTAACTCAAACTGCAAAAACCCTTGTCTTTCCTTTTGCCACCCTGAAGCTTTCTGAAGAATGTGGATGCTCTATTTCCCCACAAGGGGGAGCTCTTGCCAGCTCCCCCTGGCTCCAGAGCTTCAGGACCCTAACAGTCCCTTCAGGGCAGGGATCTTGACCTGAAATCATCATGGCAAATGGCTCACCAAGAATGGTTCCTAGGACCAAGGACTGCTGTGCTGAAGCTTTTTCATACATTGATACAAACATTTCTAGTGAGTCAAACGTGAAGAAGATGAAGAATAGCATGGCAGGCTATTAAACATAAATTATATATCACACACACTCATACACACACAGTTAAACAGTGCTACTTGAGAAACAGAGCTGCCAGTGTTTTTCATTAACCAGAACACCAATATTTAGTTTTATTCTTGGGTTGATATGCGTTGTTGGCTTTTTTAAAGAGTTTTTCTGGGACAAGAGAATCCAGGAAACCCATCGCAGAGCTGCCCAAATCCCACTATGCTTTTTCTGTTGCCTCCTAGCTGAACAGAGAGATCTTTCTTTCCATTGGCCCTATTCTTACTCACTTTCCTCCCCTCCCCTCCCCTTTTCATTCTCCCTGTCTGGCAGAGGGATCTTGCTTGCATGCTTGCTTGCTCACTCATGGTCTTTCCCACTCCTGGGAATGGGCCAGGACTGACCTTCCTCCTTCCTCCTGATAGAAAGCCCCAGCAGCCTCTTGGCCCATCTTTCCTGGCCAGGCCTCACCTTCCCACCGTCCCTGCCCAGAGAGCTCAGTGTCACCCAGCGCACAGGTTCCTGCAGGCTCTTGCTGATTGTCGTGAGAGTCCTTGGGGCACCAACTGTCTGGCCCAGCTGACCATGCTCCCCTGTGGTCAGGAGGCTGTCAGGCTGGGCCAAGGTGAACTGTGAGGCTTTGCTGTCCATCTGCCCCTCTGTATGTCTATGAGGAGCTCAATGCCTCAGTTCCACTGGGCAGCATCCTCAGCGCCCACAGAGTATCGTTGTGGGCTGCATAACATGGCTTGCGAGATTGAGGCCCCTGTTTTAAGGGGGATCCAGGCTTAATTCAGCACAAGTAAAATTGAGCAAGGGACAATGGGCATACAAAGGGCCAGGCTGCTTGCGGGTTTTAAATTTCTTCTCTTTCCCTTTTGCGTGAAGGGGAAAATTAGGGCATTTTGGTTACTCGGCTTAGGGGAAATAACAGTGGTAGAGAAGTGCCCTTACAATGGGTTCTAGTTCCTCCGGCTGAGAAAGGGTTCATTTTGCTTAGAACATTGCTGCTTTGTCTCCATTTTATCTGCTGACTGCAGCCATGTTCAAAATGCTGGGGAAACCACCCAACTGTGGACTAGATATGACTTCATGTCACTTTCACAGTTCTTGTGGGATTTTTAATACAGAGGAGTGGTGATTTTGCAGCCAAGCAGCTAGTTTCTACTTAATTATAAATGCTCAGAACTTTTTGTAAATGACAAAAATGTACATGGCATATTCTGATACAGGTGGGGGTAGGGGCCTTGGTGATTTTTGATTTCCGTTTTGTCTGGAATAAGGGAGAGGCATTTTCTGTTGTTGTTCCAGGATGAACAATGGCTGAGGAATGGCAGGGACTGAATTATGTTTTCGGTATATTCCTATCAGCCCCCTGGAAGGAGAATATTGATTGGTGTACTGTGTTCTCAGCATATGGAGGCCTGTAAGAGAGAACAGGATCTGCTTCAACCTGCTTGGAGAGTAGAAATGGTGCCTTTGGGAAGTGCCCTTTAAACCACATCCCCCAGATGGATTTCTGGCCTTTGCCTGCAAATTTCTTCAGGAAGCTAAAAGAGAAAATGGGATGGGGCGGATGTTGCCAAACAGGCTCTTAGCTTTAAACTGCTTGCACCCTACAGAGCAAAACGCTGCTTGCCTGGAACACACAGTATGTAACTTCCGGAATGTAATCACTAAAAAAGTAGCTTTAGGAAAAATGAAATCCAGGGAAGGAAATAGCACCAGAACAAGAAGTTGGGGAATGTCTTTTTTCCTGGGGGAGTTAAACAGATGTCACTGTCCTGGAACGGATGCTAAATGAGTGCTGACTGATGAAATATGAAAAGTGTTATGGAGGCTAATTGGTGTTAAAATTAGCATTTTAGCACCGTTTTGCCTGCAAGGAACACTTTTGAATGAACAAAGGGAATATTTTTTGAGATGGAAGAACTGAATGGCTAAGACATCAAGTATTAATGGCATCATGATAAGACTGTTCTTGTCTGGGAATGAGTGGGGGGTTCCACACTCATCTCCCCAACGTTTCTGCAAGAGGCTTAATATTGTGATGCCCCTTTTTTTTAGATTTCTTCAGCAGGCACAAGAGGAGGATCCCTAAACTGCAGCTCCCTTGTGCCAGACAGTCTGGAAAGTGCTAGAAACTTCAGCAGTATCATGCCACAGAAATGTAAGCACCACCAACTTCAGGCAACAAAGCTCTGGAAGAAATGGCTACAGCCACAGATGCCCCACTCTCCCTGTCAGGCCACAAGGGGCTCTCAAAAGCCAGGAGAGGGGAAAGAGGCAGGCCCTGCCTCTTGCATTGACCACTGCTCCTTTGTCCAGGCAATCACCTGTTTGTGGACTCCTCCCTGCCAGACTTGGCTGTAGGACTCATGCTGCTGGCTGGATCCTTGACTGTACTGTGCACCTGTCTTATGATGTTGGTTAAACTGCTCAACTCTGTGCTCAAAGGCCAGGTGGCCAGAGCTATCCAGAAGGTCATTAACACAGGTAGGCTGATAGCCTGGTTCTCTCCCACCAGGTTAGAGATTTCTTGGGTCAAAAAGTTCTGTCAGGCCTCTGCAAGGTCACCAAGTTCTTGTGATAGAGCCCACCTGTGTGAATCCTTCCCTCTCCTTGCTGTTTCTGACATTGCACTGGTTTGGGCAGATCTGCCATCGCCTTTTGGATGGGCCACTGGTTACTTTGCCATGCTTGTTGGTGCTGGGATGACGTTTGTTATGCAGAGCAGCTCCGTCTTCACTTCAGCAATCACCCCACTCATAGGTAAGTCCCCTATGTCTTCCCCCAAATTCCCAATAGCAAGTTCAAGGTGGAGGGACTGTGTTGAACAAAAAGAAACTCAGGATGAGACTTAATGTAGACTCTTTAGCCCAATGCAGGAGGAGAAGAGAAGCAATGTTTCTCAGCTGCATCTCTCCCATTCACTGTGATAGGGGGAAGTGAATCTGGGGTTTGTGGGTGTAGCTACTCTGGGATATATGGAATAAACGAGCAAGGTGTTACTATCACACTTAGTGAGATGATGATGATCCGAAGCACACCTATCCCAGGAATTACTGAGATTCAAGATGCTGTGTCTATATTCCCATAACATATTTAGCCAGGTCAGTTAAGATCTAGCAGGTCTGTATGCATAATATACTAAGCTTGATGAGTGTTCATCTTGGTGATTTTTGGTCACTTGGTCTATAGTTCAGTAGATACATCACAGAAACATGGAAGTGATATTAGAGGTTATCTAGTCCATGTCAGAGGGTCTTCTAGCCCAACCCTCTCTTTAGTGCAGGATTCAAAACCAGATAGTTAATGCAGTCACCTGGTTAAGTGAGCTGAGTGAACACAGGCAATGCGTAATAACTGCACTCTTTTCCAGGAACTCTGCTTTTGTGGAATAAGGAGAGCTCCTTTGGTATTGCCTTTAGGTGTGTATTGTGGGGGGGGAGATTGCTGCTTTCTGACCAGTCTCTCTTTTCTTTTGTGGGACAGGTCTCGGGGTGATTAGCTTAGAACGTGCATATCCCCTCACCCTTGGTTCTAACATTGGAACTACAACCACGGCTATCCTAGCAGCCCTGGCCAGTCCAGGAGATAAATTGGCCAGTGCCTTCCAGGTGAGGAGATGCCGTCTCTCTAGTCTGCTGAACTAGAGAAGATAGCGTATGACAATAGATTTTCCAGCCTCAGGATGTTTTTTACATGCCACTAAAGACTGTCATTCCTGCCCTCTATCAGAAAAGCCAGGCAGGTACAGCAACGGCAAAGTAGAGAGGCACTAGAAAGAATCAGAAGCGAAAGGGCTCCCCGGTTCCCCCCACCCCCTGCCTGGTACGCATTCCTTCTCAATGTTGCACCCAAGAGGATTGCTGTGTTTCTGGCTTTCTTCCTCAGATTGCCCTCTGCCACTTCTTCTTCAACATCTTTGGGATCTTGCTGTGGTATCCCCTGCCTTGCACTCGCCTCCCCATCCACATGGCCAAAGCATTAGGTGAGCAGACAGCCAAGTATCGCTGGTTTGCTGTCTTCTACCTGATTATCTGCTTCCTCTTGTTGCCGTCGTTGGTTTTCGGACTCTCTGTGGCAGGATGGCAGGTGTTGGTAGGAGTGGGAGCTCCGTTCCTGAGCCTTCTAGCTTGTGTGGCCTTTATCAACATCATGCAGTCACGAAGCCCTGACCGACTTCCCAGGTGGCTTCAGAGTTGGGACTTCCTGCCATACTGGCTTCGTTCTTTGCAACCCCTGGATGGGCTGGTGACCAGAGCCACAACATGTTGTGTTGCCCATTGTTCAGGCAGCCAAGAGGAACGCAAAAAGAAGTTGCCAGGAGTTAAGGTCAGAAGAGGCCTGCCGGAGCCCTCCGTTGTCTTCCTAGAGGAATGGTCTCCACCACCAAGACCTTCACCCCAGCTGAACATCTTGCCCCTGCAGCGTGCTAGCCGCCTGTGACCTGTGCAGGAACACAGCTCCCACTGTGGCCTGCAGACAGCGGTGCTCAGCCGACGAGCAATAATGAAAAGAAAAAGCATAACAAGAAAGTGCAAATGTTGGAGTCTGTGCCAGTGGCTGCCCTTATGACTGGAGCTCTGGCATTACCACATGTCATTTTGTCATGAGCATCAGTGAATGATTTCTCAGTGTGCAGACTTATATACAGTGTAGGAGAGCTTACTTACAGTGCAGCAGAAACTCACTCCCAATTGCCCTTAGCATCTATGTAACACAGGAGTTCCATATGTTCAGAAGCTATCTTTTAACAGAACTGTAGGTCTCTGAGTAGTATTTTACACAATGTGCAACGTATTTGCAATATTACATATAATAAACAGTGCTTGGAAGATTTCTCCCTTTTAACTTGACAACAGGGTCCTTCAGATGTTGTTTGATGACAACTCACATCATCCCAAAATCATTATACTTGCTAATTGAAACTGGTGAGAATTGGAAGCAAAAAACACCTAGAGATTCTTTGAACTTGTAGAACATCTACAGGTTCTCCACCCTGCAGTATTATCTTAATAAATTCTGACCACAACGTTCTTTATGAGCAAGAAAGTAATAGAAACTGGCACAATATCCTTTCTTAAATAGTCTTTACAATAATAATTTTGGAATCACTAAGCAATCAGCTGCTACATTTACTTTGCTTGTATTTCTGCTGGGTAGTTATGGAACACTTCAATTTGGGCTCTGAAAAGTTCTGATAGACTAGAACTGGATAGTGGCTAGGAGACATTTGGTTCTGTAGCTTTTATTATATAACTGTTCTCATGTAGACAAAGATAATTATTCAGATAAAAATCCAGATTGTGAACAACTTGATGTGTTCTATTTATAAAACGTGACACACTATTCTCTTGGCTACCACTGAATCTCAGCTGAAGCTGAACCAATGGTATAATGCAGATCAGCAGCTATCAGCCATAATAAGATCGGAGCCATTCCCTTTGTTTTTTAAGAATAGGAAATCCTATGTTAACAGAGAATCTGAACACATAAGAAAATGCTTGCAGGTTGTGTGTGTGTGAAGCTAGCACATTAGCAGAATCTGAATTTTGAAGCTTGATGCCGACCCTGAAAATGGGCTGAGTTAGCAGATGCAGCCACAACATTGGTTGCTTTGATTGCTTTATTTAAAAAAAAAAATGGCAAGCACTAGAAAACTTTCTGATGTTCCCATAGGCTCTTCTCCATGTCTCATGTTCACATTTACTTTATGATTATGTCACCAGAACGTGCACCCTGTCACTTGTATCCTTGCATTAGCACATGGTCCCAGGACATCTTGCCTTTCTGCTTCTGTCCAGTGTTTGAAGCTGCAGTCCCCTGTTGCATGACTTGAGCATCCAGGTGTGTTTCTAAATCACCACTTCAAAAGTAAAGTTCACTGATACCTCTGCTTTTTAAGCAAGCTAGAATATTATACAGTATCAAAATATATAATTTTCTATTTCTTGATGAACAGGTCCCAGGAATAGTATTACATTTTGGAGAAGGAAGTACAATAGACATTTATGGGTCCAATTCGGGCACAAATAGAAACCATTGTTACCCAGGATATTAATAGACTGCAATGAGCCATAGATTTGATACCCAAATTCTTTTCTTTTTCACCTCATGAGAAAATCAATTTTTTTGTTACTGGTTAACCACAATTGCCTAGGCATCTGAACTCAAGGAACTGAAGTTTGTTTACACCATGGGTTTTGAATGCAGTGCTTGTAGGTGGTACTGGGCTCACCCAGCCATACCGTGGCTACAATACATACCCACTATGTATTGTTATACAAGGAAATGGAGCAACATCATTCTGAAAAAGTGCCCAAGAAGGCAAAATCCTATCCCACGTGGTTGGGCAGCAGGATCTTTGGTAGCAGTTGCCTTTGCCTTTCATAGTGATTTTTCATTAAGAAGTGATTCCCACTGGAATTCAAACACATGGAGACTTTTTATTCCATTAAGCAAACTAAAGGGAGAGTACATTTCCCTGCCAAAAAACAACAGTGAGAAGAAGCCCTCAACGAGGATTTTTGAGAAAGCAAAATCCTTGGCAAATACGGTTATTTCCTGTCTTCCTTTCCGGCAACAGGGCCCTTGGAAGTTGGGAATGTAGAGCAGGCATGCATAGGACTGCCTTATGCAACTGTTGCATTTCCTGCGGTGGTCTTGGCGCTTCCTCCTCAAAGCCTCACACGTGCACAGATTCTGTAGCAGAGCCTCCAGCATTCTGCATGCCATAAAACCTCTGGACAGGCCTGAGCATGAACAAAATACAGATGTACAGATCCTTGCATGACAATGATCAATCACGCATCCAAATTTTACAAATGCAATAAATTAACAATGTATCCAAGTGTATCCAGTGTATCTGAAAAAACAGAAATGGGCTGTTGAAGATGCTCCTTTTCTTGTACAGTAAGGCACTTTTTGGTCTGAGTCCAAATTAAAATAAAAACTTGTGTAACTTTTAACTACCTCCAAAAGTGTCCAGTTAAAACAGATACCGTACATATTTTTAAAACAAGGAACCTCTAAATGACTGATAATCATGTATGGCCCTTTCTAAAAATCTGAAATCAGCTCAGGGTTCCCTTGTGGTGGTGTGAACTCATAAAATGATACACATGTGTCCACACAAACACACATACCACAAATAAATGATTTCATTGGATTAGAGTTCAGGAAGAAATAACTTCTTGCTCACTTATTTTAATAATTAAATGTATATAGCACCATAACTGTGCACTTCAGGCTTGCACAGACAAAATGAGCAAAGGCCAGAGCAAAGTTTTGCTCACACTAACTCCCACTGTGCCTGAGCAAGCCTGGTCAGGTTTAAAAAAATGTGATCCCCCTCTAAGTGGCTTGCAACCCCCTTCCCCGAGTCCTGGCCCACAGCTTGGGAAGCCCTGAGTTAGTCCGTATCTGTCATCTAGATTGCAATGGCCCAGAAATGATCCCAAGGAATGTTGCTTCCATGAAAAACCATCACATTTAGTGAAACACGTCCCAATGACTTTTCCGAGAAACACAGGACTATTACCTTGTGATCTGTACATCATCATTCGTCTGTGGGTTTGTGCACATAAATATAGTTCTTCCAGATTCACACCTTAGGCAGTCTTGTTAACTACTTGTAAGTCAGTTCTGGGCAAATCTGGTATTTAATATAGCATAGGAATAATTCCCTGAGATACTGTACTTTGCATTGCAGGCTGGTTTTGAGAAAGAAACTGTGTGGCTATAAATGGTTCACAAAGACCCTCGGCAAACAATTCCTTTAAAAAGATTCAGCCGCCCACTCTTCCCAAACGCCCGTCAGTAGGTGAGCTATATTCAACCTACTCCTTTATTTGGCACTTAACGCTATTTCTGTAATACTTCAGCCAGCCTCTTTCAGAAGCGAGGTCGGTGTCACTGACAGGTCTGGCCACTGGGTGGCAATGTGGGATAATGGGAATTTGAATTACAGCTCCATGAAGAGCCAGCCCAGGGGCGGATGCTCAGGGCCAGACGGATCTCCCAAAAGAGTTCAAACGGGCCTCTACACCTGCCAGTGAGGAGGCAAAGGTGTGTTTGGGGCTGTGTCAGAACCTGCTGGAAGAAAAGCAAGATGAGAAGAACAGTGCAGATAGCTGAGAAGAACAAAGGCGAGAACTGATCTATTTCAAACCCTGCTAATTTGAGACTGTGGTTGCCCAAAAGCTTTTAAAAATGCAGCCTTCAGTTTAGGAACTTGATGGATTAATGAAGACGATTCCTCTAAGTGTGTGCAGAAGTACTTGTTTCAGTTCTAGGCAACCACGGCCACAGAATCCAGGAGGGAGTTTTCCTAGCAAAATGTACCCATCTTTTTTTCCTTTATTTTTCCCACTAGAAGCATAATGAAGTCTCCTTCAGGTTGGGCTTGATGCCCGGTGACTGAATGCCAGCATGCGTGTTTTGGGGGGAACAGTCTGGATGTGGCTTGCCGTTACCATCTTCCTGGAAGTTTTTATTTGCTTCTCCGGTCCTACCATTCTCCGGAGGCTCCCATCCGAGTCCTAACTGGGCCTAGCTGTGCTTAGCTTCAGAGCCCAAAGTTGGCCAGCACTGCCAACTTGCTGAGACACAACTCTCTCTAGGACTACAACTCCTACGATCCTCAGCCAATGTGGCTATTTGCTGGATTCCTTCCAGATGGATGTGGGCTTCTAACAGATTGAAGGAAAAAGATAATACTATGAGAAGAAGTTAATGCTTTTTTCTGTCATTAAGCCAATAACATATTTCAGCCCCAGCAGAAAATTTTATTGGTAGGGAGGAACATTAGAAAATAAAGAAACCCATCTCTTCTCCATCTAGTTGGACAAACAAGGATTGCAAGCCTCGATACACTTTCTTAGCAGGAATTTATGCTGAGGTCAATGATCTGCAGAGTTATAATTTTAAAAGTAGTTTGGAATATTTGACTGAGGCAGCTGGGCACAGTCCTTTGCCCCTTTGCTGCCAGTTTGCACTTACCAGGTGGGGCAATAGTAAGCAACAAGGGAGATTCTCTGAAGCTCATTAACATTGGCAGCAAACGGCCTCTCCCACCACCAGCCAAAGCTGGCTGGGTGCCTGCAGGCCGGCCAGCCGCTCTGTCAGCCCCTCCCTTCCCTCCCCTAAGGGGAGTGCAAAGACCAGACTCAGAGAGACTCGGAGCTGGAGCAGCACTGCTGAGCTTCACATCATTTCAGCGAAAAAGAAGTATCAAGAAGAGTGGAGTTTTCTGTCTGCCCACCAAGATTGCATTGGATATTCCCATCAACCCAATCTGGAAAGGTTGCAGCAACAGGGAGAACTGGTGACAATACTTGGAGTGAGTTGGGGAACTATCAGATCTGCCGCCTGTCCCAAAATAGTCTGGGATCCAGAAGGGCTCTCCAGGATCTATTTTACTGTTCAAGGTCCATCATGCCTCCTTGAAGACTGTGGTTCTGCTTTAACGTCTGATGTGATACGCTGGATTCTGCAGTGCCACTGCGGGTCTGTGCTGTTGGCTCCTAGCTTAGAATGGTGCCTACTGAGAAGAAGGTTGGTGGCAGTGCCATTCTTTTCTGCAGCTATCTTGGCTGTACAACTTGCCCTGCCCGAGCAAGACTTGGGAGCTGGTGAACCTTGCACAGGCAGTTGGGGTATGGCCTGGTCTGGGAATGAATGGGATGGAGCCACAGCAAAATGGATCTAGCAATCAGAGTGAGCAGGCACCTACCATCTTTCCTTACTCGCCTCTGGACACAGCTCTCATCCTTGTGGCAGTTCTGACTGTGGCTCTTGTGACACTTATAGGGAATGTGCTGGTTGTATTAGCTGTATATACTAGCCGCGCCCTTCGGGCCCCACAGAATCTCTTCCTGGTGTCTTTGGCTACAGCCGATATCCTGGTAGCCACCCTCATTATCCCGTTCTCCTTGGCCAATGAGGTCATGGGCTACTGGTGCTTTGGCCGCCTTTGGTGCAGTTTCTACTTGTCGCTGGACGTCCTCTTCTGTACCGCCTCCATCATGCATCTCTGTGCCATCAGCTTGGATCGCTACTGGGCAGTCACCCGAGCTGCCCGATTTAACCTGAAAAGGAGCCCCCGGAGGGTCAAAGGTATGATTGGGGCCGTCTGGGCCATTGCTGCCTTTGTATCCCTGCCACCATTGTTTAAATCCAGACACCAGGAGCAGGTCTGTCTCCTGCATGACGACACCTGGTATGTGCTGGCCTCCTGCACAGCCTCCTTCTATGCCCCTTGCCTCATCATGGTTGCTGTCTATTGCCGGATTTATCATGTGGCCAAACATAGGAACTCAGTGGTCATTGCAGCGCGGCGGGTGTCCTATCCCAGCTTCATCCCTGTGGCCAAGTATGATCCCTGCAAGGGGAGCACCCAGCCTCCTGGGGAAATGCAGAAGATGGGGATGGAGCCAGGCCAGTTTCCTCGTCCCCAGCCTAGCTTGTCCCAGCTCTCTCGGCAATGGAGAGCAGATGACGGTGGCAACAGCAGTGCTCGGCCACCAAGGACCCCAAGGCTTTCTTGGTCAATTCCCTCCAGTCTCCATCAGCGCAGAAGCAGGGACATGTCCCTCTCCACCAATCGGCTGATGCAAGCCCGGGAACGCAGATTCACTTTTGTCCTGTCTTTCATCATTGGAGCGTTTGTGCTCTGTTGGTTCCCGTTCTTCTTTACCTACAGCCTGGAATCTGTGCTTGGGGAAGGCTGTTGCATCTCCAAGCCCCTCTTCAAATTCTTCTTCTGGATTGGATACTGCAACAGCAGCTTCAACCCCATCATCTACACTGTCTTTAACCGTGACTTTCGCAGAGCCTTCCAGCAACTCCTGTCTCCTGCCCACTCATTCCTGTGCCGAAAATGAGGACTCTGCTAGAGGGTTGTTGGGGCCTGAGAGAGGTGTGATGGACAGGGGGCTGGCTACGAAATGTCCTCCTGGGGTCACAGAGAAGGTAACTGGTGGAGGTTGGGGAGCAGAGTATTTCTGCAGCCGCTTTTTACTGAAGACCTCCCCACCCTCAAGCATGCGTGTAGCATAAATGCAGAAATGCCACAAGAAGTAAGATTTCTGTGAGCCAGTTGATTGGCAAGAGTCAGTCTTACACTCCTGCCTGCTTCTCTAGCTTGTTGTGGTTGCCTGATCCATTGTTCAGCAAGCTAAATAATGGAGGTAGTGGGACTAGGGTGTGACTGAGGTGAAATTATTGATGTACTATAATGTCTACTATGGCAGCCTTGACTCCCTGTGGCAGACTTCCTCAAAATTTTGGCCGTTGCTGTAATAAACCAGCAGGTGTATGTGCTGGGTTTTGCTAACCCTAATCCTTGGTTTGGGGGTGCAAGTTATACTGATCCACCTCAGCAGTTGGGCTCCATCCATAATCCTAAAATGGAAGGCTCCAAAACCAGTTCTAACTCACGGAAGCTTTGGAGGGAACGTTCATTTATCCCAGCTGCTCTGTGGGAAGGGGAAACAGAAGCAGATTCTATTAAAGGGGATTCAGCAGGCTGAACTATTTTGGTACTGGAACTAAAAATGTACAGCCGATCCTTCCTGAATGTTTTTCTGTCTCACGTATATTATTCCTTGTCAAAACAAGGGTGGTGGCATTTGAAAGAATGGGGGGCCTATTAAAATCATAAGAAGATCCATCTTGTGGTCTAGTACTCCATCAGAAACAGTGGCCAGCCAGAGGACCCTGAGGGAAAGACTCACAAATACAGTGTGATAGAGTTGTGATGATACCCTCATGTTTTGTCTCTTTACATAGTCCTATCCAGAAGCCTTCTGCCTCTGCACATTGTTTCCTTGTCACTTTGGGGCCTGGGCAGTTGGAGTTTTGGCTGACTTCCTCCACAGAAAGAGCAAAGAGGGGAGGAGCAAAGTCATGGATGTCCTAAGATAACCTTTCCCAACCCAGTGCCCTCTGGACAACAACTCCCATATACTCAGCCACTGGTCTCGCTGACCGGGGATTTTGAGGGATGATCACCCCATGCATCTGGATGGAGAATCCAGTTGGGAAGAACTCTCCTAAGGGCAGTAGAGTAGACAACTTGAGCAAGGAACCAATTTATCCTAGGGAGGTCCTGGGGTTGCAGAAAGGCAGGTGGGTGGAGAGTGAGGAGGAGAATAGTGGGTGACGGTACGTATATTATTTGGTGGTGTGAAGCTGCCGCTTTCAGAGTCCTCTGCCTAGCCTGCCTGCTGGCCCAGTGGGAGCTGGGCTCCACAAGGGAGATGCTGTACAGCTTACACAGCCACCTGGCTCAGGGAAACATTACCCTGATCCTGCTTCTGGGCAGATGCCAGGGGTAGGCTTTGGCAAAGAGGTTCCTGTCGGTACAGGAAAGGTGTCTGCCCTTCAGGTGTTATGAGGGCAGTTGCCTGCCTCCAGCAATGAGGTTTTTCCTGTTGTTCCGGTTTGTTGAGATTAGTTTCCCAGGCTGAAGCTGGTGCCACAGCCAAGCAGCCTGCCATCGCTTAGGCACTTCCTCCCAACAATCAGCTTGAGGGGTCTCTTTCTCATGCCCCCATATGCTTAGCAGAGTAACACATGCAGTTGCCCTGAGTCCCACAAGGTGCAGTTTCAGGTCCTGGGCTCCTGCCTCATATTCTAACCTTAACCTTGTTGTCTTAGCTTTTAATAGCTGTGTGCTGAATAGACATTCAACAGATGTATCTCCTCCTGGTACAGTAAGGGCGGGGGGGGGGGAAACAAGGCAAATTCTGCTTGTCGGGAACTTAATTAAAGCCTTAGAGCCTCTTTAAGGGCAGAAAAACTGGCGACCGTTGTAACTCAAGGCTGATTCACAGAATATACTTTGCAGTCGCAAGACTGCTCTTTTAATATGCTTCCCTGTGTGTAAAAATGGCTTTTCTGCTCATCTGCCCCCTGTGATTGGATAATACTCTGTGGACTTGGCCTTCAGTCCCTAATAGGTCCACATTAAGACTACTACCTTGCTTCTACTGGGACACATAGTTATCAATGAGGGTGATTTCATGTCAAGTCTCTCTTCCTGTAAGCATTACTGATTATGTTGCTAAGGAGACCAATCAAACAATAAAACTACAAACAAGGCAAGCATTTTTACTAGCTAATAGAGTGACATCTGGTAGCTCACTCTTCTCAGAAAACAGAGCAAACCAAGGGTGGCGTAAATTAGGCAGGTATCCACGGAGATAGGCCCGTTTAGTACCATATTACTCATCCCAGTTCCAGACACCTAGAAGGGCAGCTGGTGTCTAACTATTCTCTCTCTGAAAGTTTGGGTGAGCTGGGTTCTCATGTGCAGATTGACCACAGCAGTAAACAGGAAGGAAAAAGAACCTGAAGGAAAGGAAGCTTGTTTCTTGTAACATCCCAATGAACCTGACACTAAGATTTGCCTTTTCATTACAAAGCATTTTACCTGTCATGTTTCAAATACATTCCAGCATCCAGCCCAAAATTCTGTCCTGATAGTTCTTTCTACCCAGGAGTCAATTAAAATGTCTCCATGCTTCACATTTCATTTTCATCTTCCTGGGATGCTGAAACTGTCCTTCCTCGGCATCAACAACCCCTTCCACTAATTCTGTAGAGTTAAAATTTTGTGCTCTTCCGTGGCGTTTTGGTTGGTCCTAATAAAGGTTTGGTCTAATTTTGTTTTTTGCTCTGTTTTTTATTGTTTTTTTAATGGAGCAATTTTGGCATTTGATAAACCTGATGGACAGTCCTTTCAATGCAGCCTGGACATCTCCACAAACATCTTCTACAAAGTATTGCCCTGCACTAAGCTGGGGACACTGCAAAGGGGTACAGGGGCGAAGTTGGCCATCATTAAAGATGCACAATCTTGCATCCACAATCACTATATGGCTGGAAAAGTGGAGTTTAGCACATGTTTTCTAAAAAATGGCCTTTGCAACATGGGGGTGGGGGGAAACTTTGGGGTTGGCAGCAGTGCTCCAGATCACTCTCACCTGCCTATTGTTTGAAGCTGTGCTTGGGTCATGTAGTCCTGCTGCCACACCTTCTGTGAGGCTATTGATTCCTGGATTGTCTGTGCTGCATTTTCAGCAGGCAGTTTTGTTTTTGCTTTTTAATTTTTTATTAGGCAAATTCTACTTGCCTACATTCTGTCATTTAAGTATAAATTCACTGAAAAGTTTACTCTGCTCTGGGATTTCCATGTGGCCCTTGGGATTGTTCAGGATTTGACCAAATATTAGATGCCTGGATCATGTAGATTGGGGTAAACGGGTCTGTATCCTAGGCAGTAGGATGGAGCCTGACCGGGTTGCAATACAACATTTATGACAATGACCCTTTCCCATCCTACATCTCTTGAGTTCCACGTGCTGGCAGCCAGCTGGCATGGGAGACAACAGGGCTGGAAATGAGCTTCGATGTCTGAAGGAGGAGATGGGACCACAGGGAGCTGGATAAAAATGATGGTGCAAGGAAGCAAGAAGAGCAATATAGTCTCAGGATGTTTCTTGGTTATCCCCGATCCAGTTGTCATTTTACATCCCACCCTATTCTTCAATTTCCCTTTAGAGGTATCAGCTTGGGGGTAGAGTGGTCCTGAGCTTGCCTGTTGGACCAAGATGAGAGATGGGGACCAGCTTTCTGCCTTCTGCCTTTCACTCCTTTGCATAGATTTAAAATATTAAATTGGGGGGGGGGGATCAGGGAGAGGAGAAGATCTCTTCTTCCTCTCCAAGCTCATTTGCTCTCTTTTTTGTTGATGGGCCATGATCACTGTGACCCTTTTTCTTTTAATTTCCACCAAATGGAAGAGTGAAGTTGGATGCACATGGACTGTAGCTACTTTGTTCTGCTGGCACTGGCTGCACTGGGTCATATTTAGAGCAAAGCCCCATTCTGGGAATCTGCTGGTGAGGCAGCTGCTGGAAGGGCAGAAGGGTGGAAGCACACAGATGGCGAGAGGCAGCCCAGATTCCTGCGAGAATTCCTCGCAGCCTCCCGAAAGAGCCCAGCGGATGTGGGGCTTCTCACACAACATTTCCACCAGGGCAACGTAGCCGAAGCTGATGTATGTGTGGAAAGATGGAGATGCAAGGGGGCATGAGAAGATTAAGTGACAGAGCAGGGAAAGCCTCCTCAAGAGGCAGGGTGGAATGTAGTGTGGATCGGAAAGGACCAGACTGGCCAGCCCTCTTGGCTCAGACATGCAGAGCCAAAGGCTGACTAATTTCCCCAGCTTTGTGGCTCAAAATAGAAAAACTTGAAACATTGACCCTCAACCTATCTAAAAACAGCTGTTGGCGCCATGGGAGCTGGATTCCACAAGCCAGAGGGCCTTACTCCAAGCTCCTGCGCTCCCTTTAGCTTCCAAACTCTGTGATGCTGTAAGCCTGGAGCTGCTGGGCTTCGGAAGGAGATTCTACTGAACAACCATCATGGTGCAAGTTGGGCGGGGCTGGATGATGGTCTCTCTACTCTTTCAGTTCTATCTCAGAGAAACTGCAGCCAGCAACCCTTAGGAACATTTCCTACACTTAGGAGTATTCACACAGATACCCACCCTCAGGCAGCATTCATTCCACCCACTTAACCTGATTGCTGAAGTAACCCATCTTCTGGATTCATAGGAACCTATCCAAGGTGACCACTAACCAAGCTGAGTATATTTAGCAATGCTAAATCTTCACCTCGCCCAGGAAAACATATTATGTGAGTGCAGTCATGATGTTTAAGGTTGACTGGAAAAAGGCAGTTGCCCCATCTCCTTCCACCAGGGTTGGTGGTGGGGTGGGGCTAGGGGTGAAAAAACACAAGACGGTGACTGCAATTGCAAGAATGACGTTCATCCATTTTTTATGTACGTCGCATGTATAATGCCTAGAAAAAAGGGGCAGGGTTCAGTGGCTTGGTCACTTGGTCAGGTCACCATCATCATCTTGACATTTTTGACACCGCTCCCCCCCACAGATGCCCCTGCCTTCATGCCTAGCAAGCAGATTTTATACATTTTGATATGGTTGCAACAGCCCTTTGATAACAGCCCACCCCCAAAGGGAGGAAAGAAATAATTTTTTCTTTACTTCCAGCCACTTCCAGAATGGCCCTCAGAGGTGCTGTCATTGAATGCAGCAGCAGATGCCCCAGCTGCTCTCTCTCGGCCCAACTCACCTCACAGAGTTGTTGCGGGGAAAATAAGAGGAAGGAGTATTAGGTGTGTTCGCCACCTTGAGTTATTTATAAAAATAATAAAGGCGGGTTAAAAAAATCTAAACAAAAAGGCACAGACAGAAACATGATTTCTTAAGCAAGGAGAAATGACATGTAGGCTTCAAATATGCTTAACATGCCTAAGAAGGTTAAACACCCTTTTTAAAAAAAAATTAACAAAATCAAGCTCCCCAATATAAAAAGTATAAAAAACCCAGCCTTGCCCATCTTGGCTCCATCCATTCTGGCTCTCAGCCACCCATAAAGGGAGACAGCCCCCAACCACCAAAAGGTGCCCAACTCTGAAGTATTTGCAACTGTTTATGGAGGGAACATATGAAAGAGCACATGAAGCACATGCTAAGAGTGGGCATTTCCAGGGCTGGGATGGGGAGCAACAAATACCAGCCAGTGACTGGGTTAAATACAAAGCCATCAACTTTCTGCTACTTTCCTTTTTACCCTCCACGTGACTGAAAAGGGAATGAAAAGAAAAACAGGAATAAAGATGGATTTGCTACAGCAGCTCCATTTTTTTTCTTTTTTCTTTTTTGCCTAGCTGTTCTATGACTGTGCCTGTCTGCCTGCTGGCAGCAGGAAGAGAAAGTTAATTCTTCATTAACCCTTTCTTCCCTGTTTCTATAACATGGCTGAGACTGAGCATATTAGATTAAACAGTCCCAGGGATGTTTTGGACTAAAATAAATTCCCTCTAAACCCAGCACCAAGCGGATTTAGCTGTTTACACAATACCTTAGCCCTTCCTTGACCCAGTTAAACTTCTTGTGCAATACGGTCATTGTGTCAGTTCACATGAAGCATAAACTTTGTTCAGATACTTATATCTGGGTAACAGTTGGATCCTTGAAATCAAGTATGAGTTCGTTTTACATAGGGGCTAACTGAAAATACTATCTATTATGGGTCCAGAATTTTTTGGTACTATTATATGCAAAAGCACGGATCTGACACTTTTTGGCACCCTAGGGTGCAAACATGTGGATCTGAGACACAGATCATCTTGAAGTTCCATATCTGTACATCAGATTTATATGTAACCATCACGAAATCAAAGATCACAGCTATCTGCATGCCTAAGACAATCATGGTTCCAAATGTTTTGGGCACAGCTCAGAGCAAACATAAATCTTCACATTTTTTTTACATGAGATCCCTATTGAATCAACAGCAAATCATAGATCACCACATCCATCTACACAGTGAGCTGTTACCATTGCAGATCTGCCACTTTCTGCCACTTTCTATAGTGCAAAATATGGATCTAAAACATGGCTTTTCTTAATTTTGCATGAGTTTTACATGGAACCACATGGAATTACCATAAAATTACACATAACATATGAAGGTTTTTGGTACTGCAAATATATGGATCTTCTGCATGAATTCTCACAGAACATAGGGGTTTTACATGGGATCCACATGAATTCTCCATGACATTGTAGATCACAGATATCTGCATAGAATGAATAATCATAATCCTGGACCTGACAATTTTGATGCCACTGTTCACAAAAACATAATGCCACTTTATGAAAAAGGTAACTACACATAACATTTTTTTGTTTTTGTTTCTGCAATATTACATTGCTCACAGTGATCAGATTCAGGACTGTTAAGGATCACTGAATGCTGACAGATTTATTATTTGATAGTCATTTCAGGAGGATCCAATGTAAAAATCTTATAAAATCAGGATAATCCGTTTGTTGTCCTGGATCCAACTTTCCATTTTCCCTTGCACTTTTCCCACCAATTCTAAACATGTATATCATATAATAGTATAGGTAGTCCTCACTTACCGACTGCCTTGTTCAGTGACTGTTGGAAGTTATGATGGTGCTTAAAAAACTTTATGACCAATGTTCGCATTTATGACCTCTGCAGTGTCCCTCAGTCATGGGATCACCATTATAGTCAGTACGCATTGTCCTATGCCTGACCTGTTGTTCCCCCCTAAACTTGCAGAGCAGAGAGATTGGAGAGGAAGGGATTACAAGAGAGTAAGAAGGCACACAATATAGAATACACTGGATTGTTTGTGTGGTACACTCATGGCTCCCAGCTCCAAGCATGTTCGGGGCTGCCGGTGCCACTGCATTGCTTTTAATGTGTATTTCCCATTGTGAGTCTACTTACTCTTTTGTAATCCCTTCCCTTCCAATGAATGTAAATACAAACAGTAATTCCCTTCTTGCTAATTGTTCCAGTGCCGGGGTGAGCATTCCAAAGGATGGGGGAGTGAGGAAAAGGAAAGCACAGTCATGGTCATGTGATTTCCCACTTAGCAACCACTTCGCTTAGTGATGGAGTTGCTGGTCCCAATTGTGGTCACTAAACGAGGCCTACCTGTACAGATGGACTGATCTTGAAGACCATATAATCCAAACACCTAGTTTATGCAGTAACTTATCAACTACAGTAATACACAGGCATTTGGCCGACAGTAAATAAGATTGTAAGCTCATTAACTGATCACACCCAGTGATGATTAATGGATATCATCATACTAAATCCATTAAGATCTTTCTAAGACTCTGGTGCATATGGTCATTGGGAGTGGGATTTGCCTGTGCCCCCACTTTCCCTACTAGTTCAGCTCTGCGCAGACAAATACTTGCATAGATCATCCTACAGTCTTGCTTTAAATATCTCCAAACAAGGAGAGCCTAGCGCCATTCAAGTATGCCCATTCCACTGTCCAAAAACCATACAGTAGGAAGTTTCTTCTAGTATTTGGTTAGATTGTTGTCTTGCCCACAGACAGTGCCCCTGTGCCTTTGGACATTTGTATCCTTTGAACATATCTTTCTGAGTTTTTGCAAGGAATTGTGCTCCCAACTAATCCTTAATAGATAGGCTGCCTGGCCATCCAGACCAATGGTATTTAGAATTTTTCTTTAAAAATAAGCACTCTGAAATTACTTACACATTTGCTAAATTCTTTGTCCAAGCCATAAGGCTTTGCTGTGCTGACAGCTAATAACAGAACTAAGTAATTTCCTTAATGTGTTAGATTTTGCTGGATTCTCATATTGCATTTGGTTGTTTTAATTTTTTATTATCTGGTCTTGGTCTGTAATAAAATGTTTGTTCATTCTTTCATTTTCTTGCCATTTCTATCCGTTGTGTCTTCTTTTTCGGCTCTCTGGACAGAGAACCGATCTACTCCATGTTCTGTGTGACAGCTCTCGGTTACTTGAAACAACTAGCACATATCCCCGAAACTGTATTCTCCGAACATAAGGCTTGGTTTTATGTCATGAGATAAGCCATAAAGCCTGTGTTCAATGAGTCTCTCATCTGGGCCAGAGCAAATTTGCCCTCCATGCTTTTGATTTTCCTAATAGAATTAGTGTGGACACGGAGTGCCCTCTGCTGTTCAGAGTTTACGGAGATTAAATAACCTCTGCTGAGAAGAGCCATATCTTCCCTTCCCCCAGCAGATTTTGCTGAACTTGGTCAAAACACAAATAGGCATGAACTAGATTCATAATTCTGGTACTCCTAGGTGAAAAGTTCTTCTACTGAGAGTTCAACACTGAGTATTCATAAGGCAGTGTTGTCCAAACTTGGCCACTTTAAGATGAGTGGACTTCAACTCCCAGAATTCCCCAGCCAGCATGGGGAATTCTGAGAGTTGAA